GTGTGTGTGTGTGTGTGTGAGTGTGTGTGAGAGTGTGTGTGTGTGTGTGTGTGTGTGTGTGTGTGTGTGTGCGTGTGTGTGTGTGTGAGAGTGTGTGTGTGAGAGTGTGTGTGAGTGTGTGTGAGTGTGTGTCAGAGTGTGTGAGTGTGTGCGTGTGAGTGTGTGTGAGTGTGTGTGAGAGTGTGTGAGAGAGAGTGTGTGTGTGTGTGGGTGTGGGGGTGAGTGAGTGAGTGAGTGAGTGAGTGAGTGAGTGAGTGAGTGTGTGAGAGAGTGAGTGAGTGAGTGAGTGAGTGAGTGAGTGAGTGAGTGAGTGAGTGTGTCTTTCTTTCTTCTGTGGAACACAACAGAAGAGATTTTGAGAAATGTCTGTTTATCATCAATATAATGAAAGTCAATGGGGTCCAATGTTGTGTGCTAAGTATCTTCAGTTTTTCACAGAAGATGGAAAGTGCTCCAGGTTTGAAGGGCAGTGATCAGGTTGAGTTATCTGACGCTCAGACTGCATGCAGACGACGGCTCATTTATCCGTAACGCTCACAGCAAGACAGGTTTGTAGCTCGTACTGGAAACTGATCAGTAACTTTCCAGACAGTACAACTATGTTCTAAAAACAATGTTTTATGCTATATTTCAGTAATGTAGTATTACTAATACTACAGATGTAAGCAAAATAAAACGGAAGGGAAACTTGTACAAAAGGATGTAAAACATTACAAGGACTGCAGGCCGATTCTAGTTATGTATTTTTAGTTTACATAATGTTTGCATAAGATTAAAATGCATTGCAGATCAGATTGTTTTGATAATTCAAATGCATGAGTGGACATTTTCATTACATTGCATTTTAATTCTATAAAATTGTACAGTATGTGACTGCACTGCAACCAATGCGCAAGACTGTTCTAAAGTTTCACCCTGTGCTGTGCTGAAAATCCTCATCTGGTGTTGTTTTCTTTCGATTAGCAGTTAGGCCTCATTGATTGCAGCTTACGCACCAGTTCTTAAGGGATAAAAGCATTATTTGTGATAGTTTTGGCAATATTCACTCAAAAACTGGTGCATGCTCAGATCACTGAAGCTTATGATGAATCTGTTTTGTGCGATCCATTAACAAGCATCCACATCACTCTTTCCTCATTATTTCTCTCTCACAGTTCATGAATCTTCAGTGAATCTGTGGATCGGTTTGAACGATGAGCTTCTCTTCATTCACACGGATCCAGTCTGAAGCTCATTGACTCTGGGCTCTTCGGCTCAATTCACGTCTGATTGAATTTGCTCCTCACAAACATTTCTAATGGCATTAGAAGAGCCGCACGCACACGACTAACTCCATTTAGCAGCCAAATCAGGTTTAAAGACCATATTGATGCCGAGCGTTATTAAGCGTGATCATCAAAACAACAGACAATGGGCCAAAGTGTCCACTAACCGGTTTATCTGTAATTCCACAGAAGCAAAACAGATGCCCTGATTTACAGTCCGGCTGCAGAACGAGGAAACGCAGATAAGACAGAAGGCACAAGTTCTGATAAAAACCTCACTAATCACATCTGAGAACAAAGTTCAGCCAATCAGCATGATCGAAGGATAGTGACGGATTTAACTGGCGATCAGAAAGTGGACATTCATTTAAAGTGCCTGGTTTCCCAAACTCTGTCTGTCACTGGTCCAGCTCACGGGTCAGTGTCTAGCTGGTTAGTCCGGGTTAGTTAACTCCTGCTGGCTGCAAAAAAGCATCTGGCAAAACAACATTTAATCAAGCAACGCATCAGTGGCAAATACTTGATTATACTCCATTCGATGGTTTAACAGTGAATATTTTGGGAAGCGCGCTCAAAAATGGCCTTATATTTAACTGACTTTAAACAGAGACACTAGAAACAGTTTGAACATCCACACAAATGACACTCCATCTGTAATCATTGATACGGTCATTTCCATTTTCCCACTTTACCCTAAACAATTACCAGACTCCCGAGTGGTCAGAAACAGTCCTCAGCTAAACGAGAGGCACGATGAGACGGAATCAGACACACGCTTCCCATCATGCACCGCCATCTGCTTAATGAAGAGAACTTCAGCTGAAGTCACTGGAAACGCCAACTCAAAGAAGAGCGTTTGAGGTGTTTAACAGCAATTAAATGAATAACGAGATGCTCATAGTTCTGAATAGTTCGTAGTTAAGTGCGTTAAGTTACGCTCAAGAGCTGATAACACAGCGCAGTTAAACTGAGAACAATCTCTGATCGTCTGTTTTAAAAAGTCATAAATAGGAAATAAGCTTATCAAAAACAATTATTATTATTAATAATTATAAATACTTATGTGAAATATTTTAAAATTATTTTAGGGTAATATTTTTTTGACATTTTGTGTATGCTTTGAAATAAATGTCTAAAATCTATATCTGGATATGTATATATATATATATATTTGGGTTCAAGTTGAGCGTGTTGTTCTCCTCTCATTTGTTTGTGTGTTTCTCTGCAGAATCGCTGCCCAGTTCTGAGCAATTTTGACATTCACCATCAGTGACTCAATAGAGACGAAACCATGGAGATCTGAAACACTACAGAGCCGTTAAACACAGACATCAGCACTGAGAGATTCATGCTGACAACATACAGCAGAAACACAAACAAACCAGCTTTTATTCAGACACAACACCCTAACAACAATGCCCTAGCAACCACACACACAACACCCTAACAACAATGCCCTAGCAACCACACACACAACACCCTAACAACGGTACACAACGCCCTAGCAACCACACACACACAACACCCTAACAACGGTACACAACGCCCTAGCAACCACACACACACACACACAACACCCTTACAACAGTACACAACACACCCTAACAACGGTACACAACACACCCTAACAAAGGTACACAACACACCCTAACAACGGTACACAACACACCCTAACAACGGTACACAACACACCCTAACAACGGTACACAACACGCCACAACACACCCTAACAACGGTACACCACACCCTAACAACTGTACAACACACCCTAACAACTGCACACAACACACCAACAACAGCACGTAACACCCTAACAACTGCACACAACACCCTAACAACAATGCCCTAGCAACCACACACAACACCCTAACAACGGTACCCAACACCCTAAAAACGGTACACAACACACCCTAACAACGGTACACCACACCCTAACAACTGTACAACACACCCTAACAACTGTACAACACACCCTAACAACTGCACACAACACACCAACAACAGCACATAACACCCTAACACCTGCACACAACACCCTAACAACAATGCCCTAGCAACCACACACACACACACACACACACACAACACCCTAACAACGGTACACAACACCCTAAAAACGGTACACAACACACCCAAACAACTGTACAACACACCCTAACAACGGCACACAACACCCTAACAACTGCACACTAACAACCACAAGCAATACCCTAGCAACCACACACACAACACCCTAACAACCACATATGACACCCTAGCAACTGCATAGCAACGTAACAGAGTTTGCATCACTCACATGTTGGATGTTTTAAATGTCAAATATATAGTGCGGTGTGGTAGTTAGTGTGTTAGTGATTTAGTGTATGGTAGTTAGTGTATGGTAGTTAGTGTACAGTAGTTAGTGTGTGGTAGTTAGTGTATGGTAGCTAGTGTACAGTAAGCGTGTGGTAGTGCATGGTAGCTAGAGTACAGTAGTTAGCGTGTGGTAGTTAGTGTATGGTAGTTAGCGTACGGTAGTTAGCGTACAGTAGTTTGTGTGTGGTAGTTAGTGTATGGTAGTTAGTGTAC